TATGGTTTTTGAGGGGGGAGCAGAAGACAAATAGGTTGACTTTGTTGTTGGACTTTATTATTTGAAGAGATTAATTTTAAGAAATTCAACTCCAACCTGATATCACAATTGATATAGATGATGAAGATGCTATTCTAAAATTGCCCAATAAAAAGATAAAGGTGGAGAAAGATTGATCTCGTCTCAATTAAAACATGAAATAGAAAGAATAAATGATAATATTTTTTAAACATTTTATACTATAACTTAATTTTTGAGTAAAATTAAGAATTTTAGAATGAATTTTCATGCAAAAAATTTAGTATTTTTATATACTTATGTGATTGCTTTTATCACATAAAATTATACTGTAGTTACCATTAATTATTAGTTTTGTCTTTTTATTGTTTTAAGTCTATCAAATAATGTAGGCTGAGATCTTATATGTATGTTAGTTCTAACTTCTAGTTAGTGTTATTTCTAATTTAAGTGTTAGTTCTAGTGGTATGTTAGTTCTAGTTGAGTCCCTATTAGTTCTAGTGGCTCTCGTGTTAGTTCTAGCTGATGTCATATTAGTTCTAACTTACAGCTAGTGTTATTTTTAATATAAGTGTTAGTTATAGTGGTATATTAGTTCTAGTTGAGTCAGTGTTAGTTCTAGTGGCTCTCGTGTTAGTTCTAGCTGATGCCGTATTAATTCTAAATTACAACTAGTATTATTTCTAATATAAGCGTTAGTTCTAGTGGTATGTTATTTCTAGTTGAGTTTCTGTTAGTTCTAGCGGTTCTCGTGTTAGTTCTAGTTGATTTCATGTTACTCCTATTTTCCAGCTAGTGTTATTTCTAATATAAACGTTAGTTCTAGTGAGTTAAGTTAAACCTAAATCAATTAGAATTAGAACTAATATGAAGTGGGTTAGAACCAACATAAAATGACTTAGAACTAACAAAGAGCCCAAGATGCCCAATGCCCAATCAATCAAAAACCTTTAAATATATATTGTAGTTGCATGAGTTTGAACTCCTGACCTCCTCTCCAAATTCCCAAGCTTTACCACTAGACCAAGTAGTTAAACTATTAATGTTAGTCCTACTTAAAGTTAGCTTTAACATGAATTAGAACTAACATGAAATAAGTTAGAACTAACATGAGTTATTGCTAATGATAGAGTTTAAAAAAGGATGAAAAATTTTCCTCTATTTTTTCTGTCAGATCGCATTAATGGGACGTGACTTTCCATGTTTTTGGGAACCAGAGGTGTTTGGGGAAGATAAGTGAAGGGGCAATTTTAGGTTTTTTTCAAAATATAATCTTTTTTTTTGTACTGCTGACGTGAAGGGGCCTTAAAACATTAAATGCTACTTTTTAGACTGAATCACATAGCCAAAATACAAGGGTTGGGTCACGAGTTTCCGCTTTTGGGGTCTCGACATATTTTTCCCAAACAAAACTCTTACTCGTCTCCTCCGAAGGGTTTAGAGAAAGTCCATCAAGCTCCCACCGCCCGCTCTCAAGTCCTACGTGGCGGTGGGAGCCCGTGAACTCTCTCCAGCAAGCTTCGAAGGAGCTCCCAAACGCTGGCGTGGCACGGAGCTTGGGAGCTTGTGCCATCGTGCTCCCAAGCGCTCCACAAATTTGTGGAGCGCTTGGGAGTTCCCAAGTATTAAAATAATATTTTTTTTTACAAAAAAACCCATATATCAAAACCCAAAACCCAGTTTCGAAATAGGTGTTTAAAAATTAGCCGTTGAATAGTAAAAAAATTAGCCAATTGAACAGTAAAAAAATTAGCCGTTACACAGTAAAAAAAATTCTATAAATTCTCAATTCACTACACAAATCAATCCACACAATTCTCTCATAAAAAACTCTATATTTTCCTATCAAATTACAAGTCTCATGGATCCCTCCCAAAACTTTTATTCGTAACTCCTTAACGGTGAAGGATCGACCTTATACACGTCGTTCTATACAGACATCGTAGAAGAAGGTCACCCCATCGAGTTCTCGCAATTGACAACACAACAAGTGTCATCCCAAGAAACACCGACCATAAAGAAGAAGAAGGCTTACACGCGGTCCGAAAATTGGACTGTCCACGAGGATAAGCTTCTTGTGTCTGCTTGGCTGAACACGAGCCAAGACTCCATCCAAGGCACAGGGCAACACAAAGATAAGTTCTGGCACAGAGCTAACGACTACTTTATCCAATACTCCACCGATCCAACGAGCCGCACACCAAACCAAATGATGCATCGTTGGTCAACGATTCAACTGTCCGTCAACAAGTTCTGTGGGTGCGTTGCTCAGATTGAAGGAAGACAAAGATCTCCAGCCAATATAACTTCTAAGGTACAGGGCAACACAAAGATAAGTTTTTACACAGAGCTAACGACTACTTTATCCAATACTCCACCGATCCAACGAGCTACACACCAAACCAAATGATGTATCGTTGGTCAACGATTCAACTGTCCGTCAACAAGTTCTGTGGGTGCGTTGCTCAGATTGAAGGAAGACAAAGATCTGGTACGGGAATTATTGACCATGTAAATATTTAACTTATATGTTTTTATGTAAACAACATAGCATTGAAGAGAGGAATATATATCCTTAATTATGTTTGATTATTCTAAATTTAACTCTTGTGTAGATTTCAGAAGTAAAAGAATTATACCAATCTCTTTATGGTAAACCATTCGTGTTTGACCATTGCTGGGTTGAGTTGCGTCATCATCAAAAGTGGATCCAACAATGGAAACTTACAATAAGATTCGATCACAGTCGAGAAAAACCACAAACTCTGATTCCTCACTAAACAATTCCATGCCAGCGACCCCATCGAGTTGAACACTGACTCTGATGATGTTATAGCAAGGCCTGAAGAGAGGAAAGCAGCAAAGCTCAAGAGGAAACAAAATGTGAAAAACTCTGAGTCCACTAAGTCCATCATGGGAGAGGCTTTCGCGTGGATGAAGCAAACCACCAATCAAAAAATAGAGCTAAAACAGAAGAAACAAGATGACGATATCATAAAGATGGACCTCTCAACACTCAATTCAGTTCAATGATAATACTTTGAAATGCGTCAGGCAGAGATATTGGAGGGTGGATGTCTAAGGATTCTTCCTAATTATCATATATTATCTTGTATTAGATTTATGATTGTACTCGCATCGCATCCTAAATAGTTCTTCCTAATTATCTTGTATTGGATTTATGATTCTACTTGAAGTTGAAAATTTTGGCATTTAATGAAAATAACTACTTTATTGAAAAGGAAATTGGCGTAGTACAACAACTCGAACTTCTTTGCTGAAATTATATTAGACATAAAGAAACTTAATCCTCGGTGATGGATCCCTTGAGCTGCCACAAATGCTCGATCAAATCATTCTTTAGTGATTTGTGTGTTTGCGTGTTCCTGATCTGATGATGATTTTGGATGAACTCAGTTAGTGGCACCGTCCGCACATGAGAAGGTTCAACGACTGGTATCGAATCATTAAAGTCGAAGTTGTTGTCCAATTGACAATCTCGTTCATCTTCAACGATCATGTTATGCATTATGATGTAAGCGTCATGATGTCTTTCAGCACACTAGGTTGCCAGAAACGTCCTGGTCCACGAACAATCGCAAATCAAGCTTGCAACACGCCAAAAGCTCGTTCAACATCTTTTCTTACACTCTCTTGTTGTTGAGCAAAGTACTTATGCTTGTTTCCTCGTGGTGCTGGAATAGTCTTCACTAATGTGGACCACTCTAGGTAAATCCCGTCGACGAGATAGTATCCCATATTGTACTCGTGGCCATTAACAGTATAGTTACACGGTGAAGCTCTTCCCTCCGCAAGTTATGCAAAAACCGGTGAACGATGTAGAACATTGAGGTCATTGTGAGACCCCGGCAGTCCAAAGAAGGTATGTCATATCTAAAGATCTTTGCTAGCTACGGCCTCCAAAATAATTGTAGGTTCATGAAAATGCCCAGTATACATACCTTGCCAGGTGGTTCGACAGTTCTTCCATGTCCAGTGCATGCAGTCGATGCTCCCAAGCATACCAGGAAAACCTCGTTGTGAGCCTTCCTCGAGTAGGCGTGCAACGTCTTCATTATTCTGTGAACGAAGGTATTCCTCCCCAAAGATGTTGATAATCGATCGAACGAACCTCTTCACGCTCTCAAGCGACGTACTTTTACCGATCCGAACGTAGTCGTCAACGGCGTCAGCGGATGCTCCATATGCGAGCATCCGCATAGCTGCAGTAATCTTTTGAAGGCTAGATAGTCCCAACTGTCCAACACCATTCCTCTTTTGGACGAAGTATTTGTCATGTTCGACGATTGCGTCGTGGATTCGAAGGAATAACGAACGTGTCATTCTAAATCTTTGACGAAAATAATGAAGAGGATAGGTTGGTGCGTCAGCAAAATAATCTTGGAACAACCGATTGTGGCATTCCAGTCGGTATCGATGGAGCACGATACATCTTTTGTGTTGAACTGATGTTGAACCTTTCTCTTGTTCTTCTTCCTCGACGACAACAGCTCCCATAAGAAAGAACGTCTTCATCATTTCATCATCGCTAGAGCTAGATGAGCTAGACATTTTTTTCTGGGAGACGATGGGCTGAGGTGAGAAGACATCGAATTTTATAGGAATCAGTCGGTTGACTATCAAAGTTTGCGATATCTCGAACTTCGTGCCCAACCTCAAAGACCGTGTACGTTCCCTCGAAGACCGTGTGCGCTCCCTCGAAAGCCGTATTCAACGGTTAGAAACAAAATAAAAGAGGTTTAAATATAATTAAAAGTAATGAGTGAAAAAAATTAAAATAGAAGAGGAGTTTTTTGATATTGTTGAAGCTCCTAACTAGATGTTTATTGAAGCTCCATAAAATAAGAAGACCTCTCAAGACTTATTTTTATAATTTTTTATTTCAAAATGTTTAAAAGCTCTTGATAGCAAAATAATTTTTTATTCCAAAATGCTTAATAGCTCTTGATAGCAATCTAGGACTCCCAAACTGGTAGCTTGGTGGACTTGCTCTTAAGGGCTGATCTCGTTCTCTCTCAAATCATTTTCTCACGCTGAAGATCTCGTTGGATCCAATGCGGAAATATTCGGCTTTCGTTTTTCCCCTCGTTGTCCTCGCGATTCTCTTGCCGGCGGCGAGATCAAATCTCGTCGTATCGAAGGCCGAGCGACGAGTAAGTGCATCTTGTTTTCGTTTTCCTAGGGTTTCTTGGGGTTTCCTCATTCTGATCTGTGAATTTGAACTGGATATTTCTCGATTAAACTGAAATCGTGAACTTACACACATTAAATTAGCAATCTTGAGCAGATTCGATAGATTTGGGTTATATGAGGCTGTTTTTATGGTGATTTTGTTGTCATTTGTTGATTTTAACGTTGCTCAAAGTTGGTAGTTGATAGTTTCTACTGGTTATCGAAGGCTTTGTGATCAAAGTTGAAGCAGTAGGTTTTTGATGTGTGCTTTTGATCCTTCTTGAATATTGCGAGTTATGTGAAAATTGCTTAACCTCGTATGTTTGGTAGTACTGGATTAATCTGTATTTTTGTTGTGATGTAGGCTGTTTTTGTTTCTATCGTTAATGGCACTGCTTTCTCTATGGGTTATCTTAAACTGATTTTTGGGCGTCCGACTACATTAAATGGATAAATTATTTTGTGAAAACTGTCTTTGTTTTAGTAAATTACTGAACACCGTTTTGAATTTCAATCACTTTTAGGCATGTAAATATATAGATATCATCTGAAGTTTAACCAATTAGGCACTCATACTTTGACTGATGTATATCAGGTGTTACAGATAATGGTCAACTATTGAGGACATTTTATTCAAATAACCAAATACACATCTGGAATAGTCAAGAATATGTTCTAACATGCTAGCTCAAAGTCGTACTATTACATTATGCTAGCTTGTTACTCATGCAGAGCACGAGAATTAGTAGATAGAAGAGATAAAGGTGACCGTTGGGTTTAGGAGAGAGGAAAGAACGGGCGGTTGGCATATTGCCGTGATAATTGGTAAATTTTTATAGGACTGATGTAGAGATGATGCATCATGTATGAAATTTAAAACGACAGGTTTAACACTTTTAAGAGTAGGAAAGGTGGATATTGTTTTCCAAGAAAATAGAGAAGGTATTACTGTCACTCGTTGCATTTGTGCAACCACGGACAACTATTTTAGTACATATTACATAGTAATTGATAACTTTATGATTAATAGTTTTAGCAGTATTTTTGTATTTTCTTATTTTAAACAAAAATCTATAACTGAAGGTGCATTGCATTTTTCTTCCAAAGTAATATAAGCTACTTATCAAATGCTTCTGTAGGAATCACTCTACATTTGACCATGCCACGGTGTCTTCCGAAGTGATACAGACAGGGCACTTAATCATTACTTGTCTTACGTATTACTTGATTCGTGTCCTTGTTCAGCCAAAGCCAGAATTTGTTCTTACTGTACACATATATGAGTTCAATATCCGAAATCTTGTTTAGGTTACATATCTCTAGGACATTAAATTGAAATCTTGCTAAACCTATATCCTCTCAGCTCTGATTGTACCTTTCAAGTTTGCAGAAAACTACAAAGAAAAGTATTTCATTTATCATGCACAAGTTATGCCTTTTCCCATAACTCCATACAGTGATTGACGAGAGTGTTGAAGTTATTTTTGTGATTTTTCAATTATCTCAATGAGTATTATTTGCATATGTTAAAACAAATAATCAAGTAACGTATATTTGGCATAATGTAGTTCTCCAGAAAGAAGTTTTTGTGTGTTTGGAGGAATACTTTCTTGCTTTTGTGTTTTGTGCAAATGTTCCATCTTAAAACTAGTTATGCATGTTAATTATTGAGCTTAGTAAACGCAGTTATGCAAAAAGCAAATGAAAAGCTTTTCAGTGGAGGGATTACACATATTAGTTTATTAAGACAAATGCTGTTATGCATATCGAGGCAAGGTTGTTATAATTTTATGCAAAAATGGTCACTGTTTATTGTAGTTCTTTTTATTATTCTGATAGTGATGTTTGATGTGATACAGAAGAATTATTTTAGGGTGTTTGGGTTGCTGACATTATTATTTTTTCTTCACAGGTTGATTTAAGCTCACATATTGTGCGGACCATTTCTTCTCTAAAGGTATTTCTGTTTTCTGACGTTTCTTTGATATGTTCATGAAAACTATTCAATTGGTTTTTTCTTTCCCTGATTTTTGGCTTCCAGATCTTGGAAATGATGACAGTTACCGAGGAACACAAAGTTTTGCATAATTTAGCATGTACTGTTCTTCTTTCAAAATTTAATAAATCTTGGATTGCATTCCCTTTTCTTGTCTCATTTTCTGTTCTTTTTTTTCTTCATGCCTGGAATTTATGAGGGACTTCGTTTTATGGCAAAATCTTCCCCTATAAGTAAATTAAAATAAAAAATAATGCCACCCAAGCTTAACTAAAGGTTATCAATTTAGCATAATTGTGAGGGAATTATCTTATTCCAAATCATTTGTCTCAAGTGGATGCAACCTGACAAGGATTTATGGTATATAATACTTCCTTTGAACTCATGATTAATTATAACTAGCATTTTTAAGGGGGGAATTTTGGAAAAACGATATATTTAAGTATACCTGGTCTGGAACAATGTGGTGGATGATATCAAAGTTCTTCTATGTGGATTTTCAGATGGTATTAGAGCCTAATGAAAACCAGATTTAACGGGGTAGATGTTCATGAATAATCGCTTTTGAGGGTTTATTTTCAGATGGTACTAGAGTTCACAAGCATGTAAGACTAATCTGGTCTGGTTTGGTTTTCACTCAAAGCCAAACTCGACATGGACCATTTTTTAACCCAGTCCGGAATCGAACCCAAGACCATGGGTGTCATAATTGAAACTCCTAACTGTCTGGGTCATTTGTGGTGAGCCACCCGAAATGGACCATGTAAATTCTGGACTCAATATTTTTGTACGACCAGATTCCTCCATACAATATATAGAATATTTGAACTCTTTTTGAACAAAAGACCATGGTACTTCCATTATGTTCTTTGAAACTGTTGGCCATCTCTCCTACTGCCCACATGATCTTATTATATTGACAGGGAACTGTCAACTCCCGCTTTTGCTAGTTTGTTTAATTCTGACTATGATATACCATTTATAGATGTTGGGTAAGATCCTTCCATTCACTGTCACCTCAGGACGATATATCTTAAATACTGGTGAAGTTAATATGGGGAAAGACTCGTTGCGGTCCCTGTATACTTATGCATTCTGAGGTAGTGAGGGCATATGCATGACTGACATACATAACTACACTCCGATTTAATTTTTTTCATGTGATATATGGCTCATCTTGTTGAACTTTAGCTTGTTTTTAATTCTATAGTGACTCCATCTGGCATGGACCAAGAGCCTGTTACTGTGATGGATCTCATCCATTGGGCAATGCAAGTTGCCATTATTAAGTTTAGGATTAAGTTAACTGATTTGCAATTGTTTAGTACTTTAGTTCTTTTACGTGTTTTTGCATCTGACTTGTGAAAATGTGGTTAGCTCCTGTCCTAAGCTCTTTTTTTTATTACACTTGATGATACAGAACATTCTTATATGTTGTGAACAATAATTTGATTCTTGAAACCAGCATTCAGTGCTTAACAATTATCATCTTATTTTGCCATCTTTTAGGTCGAGAATGAAGGCCCTGATGCAGTCTCGGAGGTTTTAGTGGCTGTTCCCAATATACAGGCAAAGAACTTGGCAAATCTGAAGGCATTTTTATATAATGAAGGAGGAAAAGGTTCTGTTGTAGACCTTCCTGTTTCTATAGTTCATCCCGAAGGAATGCCCCCAGAACTGAGTTTCTATTCAGTATCATCACCTGAAAAATTGGAGAAGGGAGCAAGCTTTTCTTTCATTTTATTGGCTGTATTCACACATTCATTAGTTCCATTCCCTGAGGAAATCACCCAAGCTGATTCACAGCTGGTTGTCTACCAGGATAGTGCCTATTATCTGTCACCCTATGCAGTTAAGTTCCAGACACTCAGTGTCAGGTTGCCTGGTGGTAGGGTGGAGTCGTATACAAAACATCCAAGTGGAAAGCTTGTGGAATCAGAGATTAGATATGGTCCTTTTGAAAATCTTCCTGCCTTTTCCTACTCTCCTATTGTTGTTCACTTCGAAAACAACCATCCTTTTGCAGTTGCTCATGAGCTAGTGCGGGAAATAGAAATATCCCACTGGGGCAATGTGCAGGTCACAGAACACTATAGACTTGTTCATGGAGGTGCCCAAAATAAAGGGGGATTTTCTAGGTTTGCTTATTTTCTTTTGTAGCCATTTTTCATTATGGAATTTTAGTTGGCTAGGGTTGATTTTGTTTCACTCTCTTTGCTTTTTGCAGGCTTGATTATCAATCTAGAATGAAAGGAATATCATCATTCAGGCATCTTGTTGCTAAATTGCCGCCAAGGGCTCATTCTGTTTATTACAGAGATGAAATAGGCAATATCTCAACATCACACTTATGGGGTGATTCAAAAAAGGTTACATGATTGCTTCCGTAGCTTGTACTCTGCATGTTAGTCTGTGACACAATTAATGAATAATTTCTTTATCTGCAGACACAGCTGGAAATTGAGCCTAGATATCCAATGTTTGGTGGATGGAGAACATTTTTCACAATTGGCTATGGCTTACCACTCAAGGACTTCTTGTTTGAGGGAGCAGGAAAACGTTTTTTAAATATCACATTTGGCTGCCCCTTTGAGGAAGTTGTCATTGATAATCTCCTTGTCAAGGCAAGTAGTTTCTAATTCTAACTGAATACTTCATCTGTATAGTTTTTGTTTTGTTGTTGTTATTGTTATTATTTTTGTTTCTGTTTTTGTTTTTTTAACTATCTTAAAGTCATATAGGTGTAACTAAAGGTCTTCTTCTTTTCAGGATTATAAATATATATTGAAGCAGGGAATGCTTGTAACTTTTATCAACTATTAGCACTTTTTTCTATCAATGGTTTAGTACTTGCACGCCTGTTGTGCTATGCCATGAATCTTAGTTCAAGCTTTTGGTGTGCAAATATCTTTGTCATCTGATATGTTTTGGAAACTTATACTTCAGATGTGAATTTTTAAATCTTTTAAACTTCTTGGAAAAAGAATGTTACATCTCCACTTAGCTCCATAGCATTGTGTATTGTATTTAGAAGTATCGCTACTGCATTTCTTTGCTGTTTTATATATAGATACGTACACAATTTGGGTCTCTGTCTGTGTATGTGCATCTGAATGTGCGCATGCCCATGTATAATATGGAACAATACTGATTATTTACTATATAGTTTTTTCTTCATTTTTTAATTTTTTATTCAGAAATGATACACTTGTCCTGAAAGGATTTTTTGATAATTTTCAGGACTTTGACATGTTTTATGTTGGAAAAATATTGTTTTTTGAGCATAAGATAGGAATCCCAATTTCTATTATTTGAATATTATACTGAATTGTCCAAGGATTCGAAGTATTTAATGAGATCAATTCTTATCAAAGGTCTCAGATCAGTTTTGAATCGTTTTGACATGTCTGGTCTCAAGAACACATCCTGATCTCATGGACACACCTTACTTCCTATGTTGCATAAATTATTTGAAGTCAATGCTTTCTCATAAATACAACCATCACTTGATAAAGTTAAGGAAACAATTCATTAATCAAGTACATAATTTTTCAAAGCTTACTTCTTACCTCTCCTATCTATATTAATATATATATATTATATATTTATACGATACTATATTCTTATCTTCATTCAATGTAAACATTGGTAGGAAGAAAATAAGGGGACAAGGCTTCAAACCACTTGGTTTTAAAAGTACTATGGAAGCTGCTAAAATTCTCTGTTATACTGGATCTACCATCTTAGTTAGCTCGTTTCATTTCATCACTGTACATGCCTAATCTCACTTAAACATGCATGCTTAACTTTGTTTGTACAATATTATATGCCTTTGCTCTTATTATCAGGCTGTAGCTCGCTGATCTGATCAATATGGTATTTCAAACATTACTGGCATTTCAGTATTTATTAGTTGAACTTTATGTGGCGTATCTTATGATTTAAGTGTTTTTTGCTCTTTTACTCCTATTTTGAAAGGACACTCTGATTAAGGAGCGGTACTCGTGTTGGATACATATATAATACATGGATACTCCATTACTTTGCGTACTGGATTCATCTTTTTATCTACTCTAAAATTTGTTTAGTTACCTTCACTTCTGGAATATGCATATGAGACTAGGAACATAGAACTTGCACGAATGGTGGTTTCACAGTTTCACTTTATTTGACGCATTTTTATTTGTCAACTTTTAGTATAAGGCCTTGATTATTTCAGATAACTGTTGATGTATGTAATTTGAAAATATATTGTGATATCCGAGCTAAAATATTCCTTTAACCGTCTAATTTTGCGAACTGATTTTGCAGATGAAACAATAACTCCCATACATATATGATTTTTTTTTTTGCATCCAATATCCGTGACGTATCTGTCCTGAACTTTTAAGATTTCTCGTACCCAAATACTCATGCCATTTTGTATCCTATGCAGGTGCAGCATATGTTTACTCAATATTTTTCTTTCATCATTATCTGCCTTGAATATTTTCCTTAGTTTACGTGAGACTTGAAAGCGTAACGAAATTTTGCTGGACTATAAGATCCTTGAAACTCAAGGAAGTAGATTTCCTTTTCTCCATTTGTAATATTTTGCCAAGTAAATTTCATATGGTTGGTGCAGGTTGTCCTCCCTGAAGGGTCAAAAGAAATCTCTGTTTCTACTCCATTTCCTACAGAGCAAAAGCAAGAGGTACATTGGTTCTAGCTTGCCTAATCTGAAGATGCCTCATCTTAGTGTAATGGAGTTAGTTATTGTTGATCATTTGATGTATTGCAGATAAAATATTCACACCTAGATATTAGTGGAAGGCCAGTGGTTGTCTTGGAGAAGTCTAATGTTGTTCCTGAGCATAATCTGTATTTTCAGGTAGCCCTTTTCTGGAGATCTCCTCCCATAATTCCATTACCTGCCTTTCTGAAATATCTGTACAACCTTATGCTGTTGAAGGGACAAAACAATTCTGCTTTAATTCTATGAAGCTTTGATTTATATGAAGCTTGATGTGTTTTTGGTAGTCCCAGTTAACAATGGCCTTGCAGCATCCAGGATGCTGTTAGTAAAAATATGAAAAAATAAGTGATAAACGAACATTTATTAGAGAGATTTGTGTGAATTATGTTTTATAAACAAAAGACAAGTTGGTGAATGACCTTCAGAAAGATCTGACACTAGTGTAGGATCAACTCCAATAAGAAAAAGCAAATCTAATAGTAGCGTAAGATCGACATCAGATGTATGTGCCTTAGTATATGTTTGGTTAGTGGAGCCCTCTTGAAATCTGGAATAGGCTGTGAAATTTCCATTAGAAAGTCATAAGCTAGTTAAATTTCCTTTTAGGTATCTATCATTTGCAATATGAAACTTGGAACCTTCAGGTGTCACTGGTTGCTACAGTGGCTTTGCATGCTATGTAGGGCATGTTTTAGAACTAGAAGCTGTTTTTCTTCCCTTTATTTGCTCTTGTTTTCCCCAAACTCTTTCTCTTGTTCATCTTCTAAGATCCTTTCCTCCCCCTTCCTCTCTCTTCGCTATGATTCTACCTTCATACTCTCCAGTTTTCTCATCTGTCCTCTATTTTTTCTTCCTTGTCTTTTTCCTATTCTTTGATCGAGGAGGATTAAGTACCAAAGAAAAGTCTGTATTATACAATATCTTGAAAAACTCCCAAGGCAGTTCACTCCCGTGGAATACAGTACACCCTCATGGGTGTCTCTCTCTTGATCCTTTTGTCAAGCATGACTTGTTGTAATACCTTATCCAAACATGAAATATCTTAACTGTGGAGGCAAATAGAACATCTTATATCTCTCTGGTGACTCCATGAATCCTCTCCGAACCCCCTATACTTGTCTGGACCTTTTGTTATCTAGCTTATGGCTTCTTCACCTACTTCGTAGTCCCTGAAACGTGATTCCTCCTAAGATGGTAATTATGCTTCTAGGCAACTCATGTAGATTCGTAATGGTTAATGGAATACATATTAAAGTGATTTATGGTTAATGATTATACTGGGCATCACAGGATAGAGAGAGATCCTAGTGCAATATGTATGGGTCAATTTCTATTTTTCTATCGACAAGACAATTGCAAGTAGCACTTTTTCATGCAAGAGGTCTATTGTCTTTCCTGAAAAAAAAGTAACAAAATGAAAACAAAAAGAAAATGTTTTTCTTATCTCCCATGAAGGAACGCACATATCTTCAAGCTGATGTTCAGCAGTTCTTCTAAAAGGCATTCATTTATTGCTTGAATATAGATGATATGTTAGATTGAATATACAGTAAGTCAGTAACCAAACAATATCATCTATTTTGGATTTTATTGACCATTAAGCATAGTATCTTTCAACTGTAAGTTCTCTCATTCAGGATAAATATCCTATGACATTCTTAAGCATTTGATAAAAGTACTCCTGCTTGATTGTGCTAGTGGCATCGTTGAAATTATGCATGTCCCTATTATTCTTTAACAATTTGCTGATGCTTCCTTTGTTTTATAGGTGTACTATAAGTTCAACAATCTTTCACTGTTGAGGGAGCCGATAATGTTAATATGTGGCTTCTTCTTCCTATTTGTTGCTTGTATTTTATACACACGTACAGACATGTCAATCTCCAAATCTTCTGCTTCCTATCTTGCAAAACTTCAGTTAGAGGAGGTATGAAGTTGCTATTACATTTTCAATTGTACTTTGATTTATTTTATGCTGTAAATTGCTCAAATGAGGTGGCCTCGGTTGGATTCTAGTGGAAAAATCATGTCATAGGCATCTTTAATAAAGAAGAAACAAGCTCATATCATAATCATTTGTTTATTATCAAAGTAAGATTTTATTATTGATTCTTGTTAATGTGATAGTTTTTTTTGCTAGTTTTGCTAACTTTTTCTCCATAATTTTTATGTTTTAATCAACAAAAGCCATAAGCAGCAAGACCTTTATTCAAAATTTGAAAGTAACAATCCAATCATAAACTTTTCACTATGCTGTTCACTTCATGTAATATATCTGGAGTGATTAGTATTGAAGTAGGATAATATCTTAATGAGAAAGCTTATTTACTTTGATCAAGAATGACTATCCACTTCATGCTGAACTCAGTTGGAGGTAGGAGCGACCTATTTGGATGTTGTTAACTCTAATTTTCAATTTGACTTTTTTTAATTTCTGGCAGTTTTCTGTCAGTTGCAAGCACAAGAATGAAGTATTTCCACAATTAACTTAAATAATGTCATTTTTTAGGAGGAATGTCGTGAAATCCCCAATATATTGAGATAGAAGTTAATTGCAAGCACAGGACTATGCCCAACTTCCTTTGAATTCAGAACCAGAATAGCTCAGAATTCTATTTCCAATTGACCAACTTTGAAGATCTTCAATGGTCTATTGATAGATAAGCAGATTGCTTGAACTTTGTGGCACATAATCTTTGGCATTAGATGCTAGAGTAGTTTGAAAATAACCGGACTTATCTTGAAACTTTCATGGCTTTAGTTAGTTTAAAATTACTGGTTTGACGAATGACACAGCGTAATAGTAAAAGACTTAGTATGATCCTACAGAAGTGATCTTACTTTTAGTTTAAAATTACTGGTTTAACGAATGACATACTTTTAGAACAAACATGGAAAGGAGGTTGGTAGATAAGGACTTAGTATGATCCTACAGAAGTGATCTTAACCCTATCGATGTGCATTGTAAGCAATCTAGTCGGTTGAATTTGACCATGTTTCATCTGGTGTCGAGCTTGATGTGCTATTTAACTTTAGTCCTCACGCTTTGCACAATCATCGTTACATGTGTTTTTTCTTTTTAAATATTAAAAGTTCTGTTTCCGGTGTTAGTGTGACGCTGCAGAAACTCATTCACACATATGTGGAATCGATGAGTCTGAATTAACTTTTCATAGAGGGATTGTGGTCATGCAGTGGGATTGAGTTAAAGCTATGTTTTTATTCAGTGATCACTATTAATTTGAAGATAGAAGCTTTTTTACATTCCTCACTTAACCAGACCAAACAAACATTCTTTTGGACAAGGATCCATAGTTTTCCAAATATCCTTTTGATGTCCTTGATGCTGAATTAGGAGGATACTATTTACTGCATGCTTGCTAAGTGTAGTTTTTCCTATTTTATTTAGCGACATTTTTTGTTTACGCGTTTGACTTTGCACAATAGTCATAGGTACTAACCTTATTCATTTGGTATTCAGGTGCGAGAAAGGGTCCAGCAAGTCCAGAACATCATCAGCCGATGTTTAGCAGTTCATGATAAAGTAGAGGCATCGTTACGTGAGCTCTCCAGGACGGGGGATATTCAGTCTTGCAAAATTGCTCGTAAAACAGCTGATGGATTACTAAAAGAATTGACGAAGGAACTAAAGCCGTTGTTGACATATTTGCAGACTTCTCCACAGGCTGCCAATATATGGCCCAAGGTTTGTCTTTTAGTTTTACTTTATGATAACCTTCATGTTAGTGCTATTCTAATTATTGCAATACATCTAATATTAAACGTGGAGATGGTTTATCATCATTTAAAAACACTAACATATTGCTGTTAAAAAATGATTGTAAATTGTAAATGCAAATGGTTAGACTTTCATATATTGAAATAGAAGTTAATAGCCACAAAACCCTCCGTGAACTTTGTTTTTCCAACTTAACCCCTACAACTTTTACCATAAATCCTCCAAAATTTTGAAGACTCGAGTAAACCCCCAAAACTTTTAAAATTTACCACAAAACCACAAAGGGAAGGAGAAAAGAAGATGAGCCCCAGAGGAAACAGGGAAAGAAAAGAGTACTGAAGTTTACCCTTTTTCTGCCTTATACTGTAAAACAGAGAGTAATCATCACATGCACTCACTCCATGTACCCGTTGCGCAAAGATGGTCCAACTCCCTAAAATTACTCAAAGTGAATATTGGAAAACATTTGAGCAAACATGTTCGAGGCCAAGCTAAAATGTTGTTCAACTTATTCTATGGTAGTATCATACTGTATACTGGCGCAATTCAAAATAAAACAATGCCTTTGCCCTTTTCTTACCTGTGATATAGTCCAAAACAATAGTGTGAAAAAACAAAGATCCAATATATCGTTTCCACTTTTGTTGAATCTCTGTTACTCTAAAATGTTTGATATCATCTAGATGGCTATCTAAAAGTTTCTTTGATTGCAATGTTGCAGGTGGAGGAGCTGGTTGCGAAGGAGAGGGAGATGCAAGAAAAGCTGATGCTAAAGCACTCGACTGTGGTTGATTGTTTCGAGAAGAAACTTGGTGGGAAAGAAGTAGAAAATCGAATTGCTTCCCAGCAGCAGAAACTATCAGCGTTGAGACAAGATGTCGATGATCTTCTTGAGATCATTGATGAGTTCTGTTAGTTTATTAGAGATATAACTTATAAAAAAGGGGGGTGAATTTTACATTATTTCGATGTTTTTGACTTCGAGGAGCAGCTTTGAAATGGCTTTTGTAGGAGGTAAATGAAATTTTAGATATGTGCGTTTAATGACAGTTTGATTATCATTTTGACATATTTGATTTGGATTATCTCCAATTAGATGGTAACCGGAGAGGGTCCGATTAATACAATCGTTACCGTCTATTTGTATTTCAAAGCATAAGATGAGCCCGCTAAGGATTTTCACTATCCCAAAAGGGGGTTTCATATTTTGTAGGCTATAGTGATTTTTTGTTTTAAAAAAAAAAAGAGGGCATGGTGATTTTTTAGATAATAACGGATGCTCGTGTGGCCACTCTTAACCCTTAAATTGAAATGTAGGTTTAAGATTGGGAATAAATTAATGGACCATGTATTCTTATCACATAATTGCAGAGGATTTGTGTCCGCCATCCGATTCTTGTATGAGATTTGAAAGAGGGGAATAGAGGGAGGAAAAACATTTATGGATGTTATTTTTATCTGTATTGTCATATATTTTCTTGTGGCCCCAATATGTGAATCAAAGTAATATTGCTGTGCTGGCGTTTGGCAGTAGAAGTATTACTGTATTCGTTGAAGACAAAATTAACCCACTTATCTTTGGAGGGTCAAAACAAAAATTCCACCGTCTTTAATATTTATATGCTAACCATCGAAGGAAAATCGAAACTTGAAGCAGTGTGCTAACGTGTATCTGCTAATATACTCATATTCACGTTACAACGCTGACATAGTTGAAAGTTGGTTTATTTTTATAGTTACATTTTAAGTGGATCAATTTTTATAATTAAGTTTTGAAAACGTGTTAATGAGAAAATTTTCCTTAAATAAAGTCTAAATGGGTTACATGATTATTACTGTTTATTCTAATTTCAAGAGATAGATGAGGTCAGGTGGAATTTCCGTTATCATCTTGAAAATCACTATCGTGATATAAGAAATCCTACGTGCCACCCTCCTCTTATCCTTTGAAACTAGAGTAGACGGTAATAATTAATATAATTGGGCTCTGATAATTGAATCTGGCCAAACAGTACAAATGCATGAATCTAGGACAAACTAAAGATTATTAAAGCTCTCATCTTATCATCCCAAGAGTCCAAGTTTTAGGAGCTTTTGCGATTAAAAAAAAAGTTTTAGGGGGTTTTATGTCACGCCCTGGGCCCGTGCAAGCTGTGAAACCCACCGAGAACAACTCGATATTGGCTAAAATTCACTGTCAAAATGCTAGTACTAATTGCTCTTGGGTCTTGGGATTTTCGCTATTTAAGCCACTAAAAGTTCTTATCATTAGTCTATATTGGACTAAAATGGGGATGTCACAAACTCAACCTTACAAGCGATGTGAATTCTAGAGGTGGCTCCCATTACATCCACGCCTTGTAGCATTTAGCCCCGTATAGCACATAGCTCCACATTTTCAGTTGGCTAATTGCTCTGATACCATTTGTCATGCCGTGGGCCCATGTGCCCTATTGGCGCATACAAACCGTGTGACCCACCAAGAACAACTCGATGTTGGCTAAAATCTACTTTTAAAATGCTAGCAATAGTTGTTCTTTGGTCTTGGGCTTTTATCTATTTAAGCCACTAAAAATTCTTCTCATTAATCTATGTGGGACTAAAGTGGGGGGTGTCACATTTTTTCCATAAAACTCTAGTCTTGTCCTTCGAATAACGGAACCCAATATTTTTATTTTATTTTATTTTGCCAAGGCAAAAGAGAAATATCCCAATCTTATTGTTATACAACTAAGCTAGTCTATTATCAGAACTATTTGATATATTATACTATGAGCAATATGGAAGAATTTGGTACTAAACATAAGTTTTTATGTTTGGTAGTAAAGTAACATATTCTTATTCACTCATTCAAATGGGGAATCACATTCACGTGGGTTAAAGAGTAGATAAGAATATACCACCTCACTATCAAGTATAAAATATATGCTTGGCATCAAGTTCCTACATTTTTCACTTATACTATTAATAAAAATTCAAAATTCAGCAGTGAAATGGAAAATATGTGTAGTTGGATGTGATCTGCACTCAAAACTACCTAGAAATAAGTTTTTAGATATTTAAAAATGTTTTAATTATTTATTATGCGTAGAAATCGATGCTTCAAAATTTTCATAAATTAATTAAAGGTTATTTATATTAGCGCCTTGAGTCTTTCACATTTTAAAATTAGTCCCTCCAATCACAAGTAGAAGTAGATATTGCAGAGCCTAATGGCAATTTCAATGACAAAAGGCACCCGCTAATTATTTTTAATATTTTTATTTTTTTATTTTATTTTTTATTTTTTTAATTATATTTTATCTTTTAAAGAAAAAAAGAGAAACCGGTGCATCATTTGTTCACTGTATTTTTCTTTAATTTGTGAGGTCTTGCGCGGGAATCGTCGGTGGGAAGTGTTCCGGATCGAGCTTCAAGTTATCAGCAGCTCTTCGTGGGAGATAGACTGCATGTGTTCCCCAAAACTTGGTGTTTAGATTCTAATTAGTTTAGGTTTAACAAGCAAAATTAACCTGTGCGTTGCCGCAACATTTGTGTGAAAAAGCCGTTAAATATTTTGCTTAAAAAATTCTTTTTAAATTTGTGTATGAAAATATTTTTGAAAGTTTTATTTTGAAAAAATGAGTGTGAATAAAAAAAATGATTTAAGCATTTGGTTCACAAAATTCTTTTCTAGCTTGTGAATAAAAATATTTTTTGGTTTTGTATTATTGATGAATTACTGTAGGAAAAATCAAAAATAACAGTTTAAGTATATAAACAGTATTAATACTTTGGGAACTTTTGGTAGGTTTATTGTATATAAATTAGTGTGGGAAAAAAATGCTCATTCTTATGTAGAGAAAATATTAGTTAATGCATTTAAAAAATACTAATGCCTTTGTACTTGTTATGCACATAAATTAGCATGGAGAAAGACAAATAATAATAATAATAATAATAATAATAATAATAATAATAATAACAGGCTCATTTGATTTAGAAAGAAATATTTTTGAGAAAAGTAATCCCTCACAACTTCAATAATTTTAGTCCCTCAAATCTAAATAATTGTTTATTGGTCTTTCAAGTTCTAAGGTGTCTTACAATTTAGTCCCTCAATGACGAGAATCACCCTTAATTATGATTTCTCTCTAAAAACACAACTTGCTCAAATATGGAATATTTGCACTTTGGTAATTTAAAGTTTACATCCTTTAACTTTAACACCAAAGTTTTCTGGCACTTTGATAACCTAAAGTTTACACCTTTTTAACTTTGATGCCTCAAAGTTTTTTTGCTAATCCTTTTGTTAAGACAAAATTTATATATTTCTCACTGTTATACCCAAAATTTTATTTTTGACACTTTTATACCTTAAACTTTTCTTAGACTTTAGGGCATTAAAGTTAAAAATATGCAAATTTGAGGTATTAAAGTAAAAAAAAGAATTTGAGGTATGAAAGTTAAAAAAATGCATAAGCTTTCTTGGGTATCAAAGTGTCAAAAAAAAGTTTGGAATATCAAGCTTTAAAATGTTAGAGTTTGCTATCGACAAAAAAAATATTTTTAGAGGTGAATGATTATAAAATCACATAGACATAAAAACTTTATGTCTATAGGTTAAAAACTTGTATGATGCTACGAGAGTAGTGTTAAGAAAAAAAAATACCAAAAAAATAGTTTAAGCATTTGGTTTTAGTATGCACCACATATAAAACAACTTACACAAAAGTATAAAAAGTTGCAATATAATATAGTTGTTGGATTTAATCTAATAAATCTATTTATGGGCACATATGATTAATCAATGTGTATTGCTATCCTTCGGATTTAATCTAATAAATCTATTTATGGGCACATATGATTAATCAATGTGTATTGCTATCCTTCAGGATAACCCACTAAAGTGATCATATTGCTATCCTTCAGGATAACCCACTAAAGTGATCAATTAATTTGGGTTAATGGGTATTTAAATAAGTCGTGGGGTTATATGTGCAGATACCAGGTTGTAATTGTGATTTGATGAGGGGTTAAATTGCAAATGTACAACATCTATAAATAAGGGGTTATGGTCCCTAATCTAGGGTTACATTCTCTAATTCTCTTCACCCCCATCTAGAGAGAAATTTGGCTAGAGAAACCCTAAGGTTAGAAGATCCAAAAACCCATCTCAAGTTTAATCTATGGATTGGATCTATTTTGTTTGGTTGTCGATCCCGTGCTCCTCGCCGGTGAAGTATCGCTGGCGGCCTCGCTCTCGACTCCGACGGCGATGGTGGCGTCAGAAAACCCTAGGGTTTCGACCTCTTGGGTGCCGGAGCAATGGCGGCGACGGTTTCAGTTTGAAACCCTAAGGGTTCGTGCGTGAAAACGTGGCGAACATTAAGGAGGCGGTTACCTCAAATTTTTGGCGAAGCTGAAAGCTTCAAACGAACTTCACGTTCGTTCTCAAGTGAGCATCGCGCTCAAATTTAACCGAACTTCGCGTTCGTTCTCAAGTGAGCATCGCGCTCAATTTAAACGAACTTCGCGTTCGTTCTAAGGTGAGCCTCGTGTTCAGTTCTAAGGTGAGCCTCGCGCTCAATTTAAACGAACTTCGCGTTCGTTCTAAGGTGAGCCTCGCGCTCAATTCTAAGGTGAGCCTCGCGCTCAGTTCTCAGGTGAGCCTCGCGCTCAATTTAATTCGAACCTCGCGTTCGTTCTCAGGCGAGCCTCGCGCTCGATTCAAACGAACCTCGCGTTCGTTCTCAAGTTGAACCCTGTGTTTATTTTCAGTCGAACCTCGTGTTCATTTTTCAAACGAACCTCGCGTTCGTTCTCAAGTTGAATATCACGTTCATTTTCAGACGAACCTCGCGTTCGTGCTTAAGTGAGTCTCGTACTCAATACAGACGAACCTCGCGTTCGAAATCAAGCGAACTTCGTGTTCACTATGGGTCCACTTTGGTATACTTAATTTATTCAATTAAGTTATGGGCCCTATTTAAGCTATGGAAATTTAAATTAATTTGGTTTTTTAATCAATTATTTAATTCAAATACTATGACACTAAGGTATTAAGGTTGTCTCTCACTCCAATTGATTAA